AGATAGACAGATAGACAGATAGACAGATAGACAGATAGACAGATAGACAGATAGACAGATAGATAGATAGACAGATAGATAGATAGATAGCAATAGCAATAGCAATAGCAGTTAGACTTATATACCGCTTCATAGGGCTTTCAGCCCTCTCTAAGCGGTTTACAGAGTCAGCATATTGCCCCCAACAACAATCCGGGTCCTCATTTTACCCACCTCGGAAGGATGGAAGGCAGAGTCAACCCTGAGCCGGTGAGATTTGAACCGCCCAACTGCAGATAGCAGTCAGCTGAAGTGGCCTGCAGTACTGCACTCTAACCACTGCGCCACCTCGGCTCATATGTTAGGGTATTTCAGTTTTAAGTTTTGATTTAAGTTCCTGGCATTTGTTCCCAAGGAAAAAAAAAGATACAAGAATGCCCCTCTTAGCACATCTATGAGAGGCTTATTTTTGTATGTGTGTATATGTGTGTCTGTATATATACACACAGTATGATCTAGCTTGTTCAAAAACAAGAAATTAATTTGTGGACAAAGCAGGCATGGCAATCTATACTGTATTAATATCAAATGTCAATATACTACAGATACACATCTCTTTTTGCTTAACCTTAAAATATTTTATATTGTTTAAAAGTACATTTTAATTTTATTATTAGAGCCTTGTGGATATTTGAATGTACTTTCTTATTTTTCAGATTTCTTCTGATGAATTATTGGCCAAGAAAGGACAGCTATCAGAGGCTTTGCAAGGAACACAGATATTTTTAGCAAAATATGGCGACAAGTATGTTACACTTATTTTGACATTTAATGATGTTATTTCAACCCTTATAACAACATTTAGTCTTTTGATATGTCAAATCAGGTATAGTTTCTGAAACTTAAGAAAAGGGGTTTGAATTAATTTTAAAATTCCTATACCAAAGTGTTTTTCCCAAAGGCAACTGGACTTCCTTGAGTTTTTTTTCCCTTGAAAATATTTCACTTCTCATCCAAGAAGCTTCTTCAGAACGTGAATGATTGAGAATCATCGTAGACATTTTGACTTTCCTCTTGTTGACACTTGCTTATGATTAAAAGGGGAACCAAGATGTTGGTTCTAAGGATTATGATGTAATTGTGTAGCTTGTGGCTATCTACTTTTTGGCAATCCTCCTGTTTATAAATTTCCCCTGATCCTAATTACATTGCACCCACAAAGTTTGATCTTAATAGCAGACCTTAGACTTAATCTTAAATCTGTTCAAATCTTAGAATAATGGGAATTATCACTCAGTATGTGATACATCAGTGATTATCTCAAATACAATATCTGTTGAATCCAGCTTCAGTCATTCTCAACTTTCCTTGAAGAAGCCGGGGATGATTTTCTCCTCATCATATTAGAAGCTGTGAACTGGCTTTAAGGATAATTTTTTTTAAGTTAGCTGTGTGCATTCTGTTGTGTATCGTTTTTAGCAAATGATTCTAAATACTGATAATGCATTATGTATCTAATAAATAATTAGAAAGTGGCTGTGTCATGGCTATGACTATTTGTAGCTGCTTGGGAAGAATAGCAATAGTACTTAGAATTACATGCCACTTTGCAGTGCTTCACAGCCCTCTCTTGGTGGCTTACAGAGTCAGCATATTGCCCCCAACAATTTGGGTCCTTATTTTACCCACCTCGGAAGGATGGGTGAATCAACCTTGAGCCTCATGAGATTCGAACTATCAAATTGCAGGCAGCTTGCAGTCAGCAGAAGTAGCCTGCGCTACTGCACTCTGACCACTACGCCTCAGAATAATAAAATATACTCGTTTCTCCAAACAAGTTAAATGGTTTTTAGTGAAGTGTTGCTATGGAAGAGCATGCATTATCACTCCATCCCCAAATACCAAGTTTGCAGTCTTCAGCATGACATTCAGAAATATTACACTGGCTGCAGTGCATCCCTATAGTATGTGGTATCAGAAAACTTTTGCAAATAATACTTCAGGTCTAGATTATTCATGAAATTTTGCAATTCACTTGTAAAAGCACTGCACAGTAGAAAATACAGTTTGTATATTTAATGCAAAGTCTCATCCAGGAAGAAAGATTACAAATAAAGTGAATAATCCAGATCAAATTACTCACCATTATTTTCATAGGCAACCATATGTAGCTGTATTGGTTCTAAATTCATTTTTGCATCCTGTAATTACTTCTGTGAGATTTATTTACTGACATAAAGTGGCATTAGTTCTTGATGTAGTGGAACTCTATTTACTGTATGTATTAATGTGTTAAACAGGAAAAACGTGTAGTTTAAAGTCTTCTAAATTGCTGCTTTTACAAAGCGAAGTAATTAACACAGGATTTGTTTCTGGTTGATGAATCTAGGAACCCAAGTTCAGATTGTAAACTATTTCTGGTTTTGTTCTGTTGCTTATGGAAAGAGGAATGTTGTAGTGAACCACCCTAGTGTTCAGTAGGCCAAGATTTATCAAAATCCTGGTTTCTTATTCTATGCTATTGCAGTCTATTTTTGAAAATCACATATGTATCTTTAATTTGTTTTGTAGAATGACAAATGATGAGAAAAACGAAATGGAAAATCATATAAAGTCCTTGCAAGAGTGTTCCAAACTCTTATCTAGTGAAGGTTTGATACAGTTGGAGGAGGAAAGAAATATAGAAGATGAAAACATGGATTCAAAGGTAGCCTAAAACTTCTATAATATTACTGATGATCGTGTATGGTCTAAACCTTACTTATTGCATGGGTATAGAATTGTATATTAATACTTTTTTAAAAAAAAAACTGCATTAAGTTGTGTGCATCAGACAAAAGGAGGACTAAATGAAAACATTCTGTATTTTTCTGTAATAAGAATTATTATTGAATGTATAAAAAGAAAAATATAGTCATGCATATATCAATAAATCCTTAAATCTGTGTCTTGCATGAACTAAAAACAAACAAAAAATCATACATCACTTACCTTTCTTTTTAAAAACCATCTTTTCCAAATTCTATGTTTCAGAATCCTGACACCCTACAAAAATTTGGTAGATTATACTTCTTGCTTTGTACATTTATTTCAAAAGTTCATTAAATTTCAGCTGGTTACATACTTATCAAAGGGCGCTCTCACTAACTGTGAGATAAATGCCTTAAGGCCTCTCATGATATGTAAAAAGTATTACAAAATGTCAGTTAATATATGCAATATATATATATATAAATATATTTAATATATGGAAAAAAAACCCTAACTTTCACGTGTGTATTAAATGTTTCTAATGGATGACTTTCAATGCAAACCAGTTGCAATGCATTTAGGTGGTTACAGTGGTGTCAACTTAAAAGTGCTGTATGCTGTAAACATGAGTAGCATGACTGTTGGTATCATTATTTTCTGAATATTCTTAACTTCTCACCAACCACATAGATGGCATGACACTTTGTCTTCCAGGAACGTGTCTTTTTCACTCACTTATATGATCATTGGCTCTTGTATTTCACTAACCTTGTTGATGTGTGCAGAACATAAAGACTTTTTGGTTTGCTGATGCATGCCGTGTCTCAATCTTGTATCACACCATGTGCAGTTGAATCACTGACATAGATCATTTCTGCATTGACTTGCTAACATTCACAGTCTTGCTCCAAATCTGGTAAGTAAATGACTTTTATTGCCATCTACAGATAAGTATTTAAATTCAGAGATTTCATCTTTTGATATTTATTGGAGACTGAAAAAAATATATATTTTTATGTTCTTAGGTAGACAAAGTCATAGCTGGCATCATTGACCAGGCTACCGGAGAGACGTTTTCAGTCTTCCAGGCAATTTATAAAGGCCTTATTGACTATGACACTGGAATCCAATTACTTCAGAGGCAGATTATTTTATCTGGTTTAATTTCACCTACTTTGAGAAAGAATTTTGATCTTGAACAAGCAAAGACCCTTAACCTTGTTGATGAACAAGTTGCATCGGAACTGCAAGGTTTGCAGAACGCCAAGAAGGTTGTTTCGCAACTGAGTTCAACCACAATCCCGGTTGTGGCTGCTTTGGAGCAAGGAATCATTTCAGAATCTTTGGCTGTTAAAATTCTTGAGGTCCAGCTTTCTGGAGGATACCTAAAAATAGTCGGGGCAGAAGAACCACTAACTTTGCACAAAGCTTTCCAAAAGAAACTGATTTCTGGAGCGCTGTATGCTGAGGTCCTAGAAAGCCAGGACGCATCGAGAGACCTTATTGATCCCAATACTGCAGAAAAGTTATCATTTGAGGAATTGCTTGAAAGGACTGTCATACCCAAAGAAACAGGCTTAAGGTTTTTACCAGTGGCTCTTCAAGAAAGAGGCAAAATAACACTAACGTGCGGAAGGAAAACAACTGTTATGAGGGCAGCTCATGAAGGACTCATAGAGAAGGAGACTATGTTCAGGCTGCTAGATGCTCAGCTACTTTCCGGGGGCATAATTAATCCCAATTCAGATCACAGGATGACTGTCGAAGAAGCAATGAGAGAAGGAGTCGTAGATCAAGATACCGCCTGTGCTCTTTGGACTCGCCAAGTCCGGACAGGTGGAATCCTGTCACAAAACTCCCCGAAACGTTTGACTGTAGATGAAGCTGTACAGTGCAACCTGATCTCTTCTACTTGTGCCTTGCTGGTGTTAGAGTCACAGCAAGGTTTCGTAGGACTCATTTGGCCCCAGAGTGGTGAAATATTCCCCGTATCTGTATGTTTGCATCAAGGAATGATATCTAACGAACTGGCCTGCAAAATTCTAGGCGGGAGGCAAAAAATAGCAGCGCTATATATTCCAGAAACCTCTGAAGTAATCAGCTTAAATAACGCAGCCCAGCAAGGAATTATAGATAGCAACATTTTATCCATTTTGAGTAATATTACTCTTCCTGATGAATTGCCGAACGGGGATGATGCGCCATTCCCATTGAAAAGGGCTGCAAGATGTTTCTCATTTTGTGAATTCCATCCATCTACACCGAGTGGAGAAAGAAAGGACACCGAACGTCTGAATACCAGCAAACTCGCAAGTCCGCACTCACAACAGAATCAAAAGCTATTCATGTCTTACCTAATGATAAACAGTTGTATGGATGCAAACACAGGCCAGAGGCTTTTGTTGCATGGTGGTGACTTAAATGAGGCTGTCAGTTTGTTAATGGATGACAAGAACTCTGAATGCATTGCAGTTGGAACTGAAGAGCAATTTCGTGAATCTTCTGAAAACAGGGAGGGTCCATATCTTGAGCAGCAGCCTAAAACTGTAATACTTAACTCTGTTACTGGCAGTGCTTTAGATCAAGAGACAAGTAACCAAAGTATGCTTGGCAACAATAACACGGGGGGATTTCAAGAAACTCACGAGAATTTAGTTAACCAATCATGCGCTAAGGCTGATCAGGCAGAAGAGTCCCTTGATAAGCATTGGCAAGGAAATCTTTTAAGCGGAAATGAAGTTGGCGTAAGCATGATAGGCAGGGAAAATCAGAGTGTCAGTGAAAATCTTTTAGCTAACTTAGACAATGTTTTGGATATAAATAATCCTTCAGCGTTTATTAATGGAAGAAAACTACCAAACCACACCGAGGAATGTCCACCTCACTTTCCGCAGGATAATGAAGAAATTATATTAACAAAAGATGAAGAAAAAGTTAATTTCCAGAATAGTTTACTTACCACTGTGAAAACCGGCCATAAATATTTAAAAGGTCATATTCAGGAAGAATTAGGGGCTTGTAATGAAAAATGGACATTACAGTCAGATGCTAACATCATTGCTGCATCCCATAATAATAATAATTACAGAGCCTCTCCTTTGGAAGCTACAGAGCCTACTCCCGATAGCCCATTATTAGATAGTTGTATGAATAGCCATTGGATAGCTGTGATGGAAAATGCTTTTTCTAAGGATGATCTACCTCTGAAAGGCGACATCGGTTTGATAAATCAGGAACAGATTAAAACGGAAAGAAATGAATCTCCGAAGAGCAATATTAATATCAACGACAAACCCGTAAATGAAAGTAACATAAATGGTAGAACTTTGCATGATGATTGTAATAAATCTTACGGAGTTCCACCATTGGAAGGTGACGTTAAATCCATTGAGCCCTTTCGGTCAGATCACGTTATGATGACTCGTATTGGTCCTCCAGTGGAAGGCAATATTGATACAACATTGGCAGGAATCAGTTCTGGATTCTTTGGTGTTTCACCCGTCAGTACAGATGCCCCCCTTAGATTACTTAATGAACCGTCTGTGAATGATAATAGCTCACTTCTAGAAGGCAGAAATAGTAAGCCTTGTGAAACACAGGATGAAAGAAAATGTATCACTCCACAGTCGGAAAGTAGTAATGAATACAAAGATAGTCGAAGCCTTCGTGATATAGCTAAGCATAAAGATGGCAGCATACATAATTATCATAGTGATGATTTTGTTGATAATATAGATAAAGTTGATAAGGGTAGGTCCTCTACAGATAAGGGAGGTATTATTCCAGAAGCCAGTGACGATGTACAGTGTATTAAAATTGCTGTAGATAAGCCAACAGAAGAAGCATCGAAATATCTTCTGCATGAGAAAGAGGAGAGTTTTCTATGCTTTGGTCAACTGGATAACGACGATGCACCTGAAACTGTGGGTAAGAACCCATTCAGTGGAGGCACTGTTCAAGAAGAGAAGGGAGAAGGGAGTGGAAATGTAGATAAGGAATGGAGGGAAAAAGAAAGACACGAGGTTTTTACCTCTCCGAGAAAATTGGGTGAAGCTGAAATAAAACAAGATAGGCAAGAGCAGAGTGGTAGTACCGAAGAAGGAAATTATTCTGATGATACGGCACAAGAAAGCATTTCTGTAGATGATTACGTAGGCAATAAGGATAAAGAAAGTGAAGATGACTTTGATAGTTATGATTATGTGGATTTTGATTATTATACATCTGATGAGACTGATTATGAGAATGAGGAAGGGATAGAAATGCATTACTCACGGTGCCAGAGTATAAGCACTGGCAGACAGCATTTAGGAGACAAGAGAGAACAGTTTCAAAAAACAGCAGAAGGCGATTTTACTCATCAGGACTGTAACTTGCAAGTAGAGTTGAAAAACGGCTCACCGTGTTTTAAAAGAAACGTCGTTGATGATTGTCAAAATATAACGAATGGTAAAAGTAAAGATGAGAGCCAGAAAGATGCTGAAAATGTTTTAGAACCTTTCTTAGAAATAAAGTTTGACGCACGTGGCAGTCAAACTGTGGCTTCAGAGAATGCCACTGGAACAAAAAATGTTCAGGCTGAGCCAGACATCATTCTTCAAAACACTTTGTCCTCTGACCACAACGAGGCTATCGGGCAAGATGTAAAAGCAGCGTCATTTCTGAGTTGTAAGGAAAGTCATGGAGTAAATGATAGACAGTTAGTGCAGGATATCATGGGTGATGGGAAACAGAATAAAAAGGGGGTTCTGTGGGAGGATAGTAGCCTGGAATCAGATGGAAGCTTGACGAAGAATTGTTCATTGAGTATCAAAAACACTTACGAAACTATTCCCTCATGTCAGGAGAAAGCGAGTCTTGATCCGTTTTCAAATGAAGCGAAACCCCTTGTACAACCTAGTGGCTTGGCTACAGACGTAACTATTGACCACGATGAAGTAGTTGATCTTTCTACTT